ACGTGGAAGTTCACGCTTCCGCACCAGCACCCTCTTCTCTCCATCTCGTCTCATTGACCAAGTGTCTTGTCCAAGTCGTTCAGGTCCAGGTTCTTGAAGTGCTGTAGATGGAGTTAGGTCGTGCATCTGGTGCTCCTCGCTCGGGTTGTCTCCTGAGACGTCCATGTAGTATCTTCCTTGGAAAGAACTCAGCAAAGCCTCCACCGTCACCGGAGTTCGGAGAACTGCTGTGCCCTCGAGCGTTGCCTCCAAGTCCTCTCGCTTGGTTGTCGGGCGGATCTGGTTCAGCTTCGCCCTGATCAACGTTGCGCCAGACACCAACCAAGCAGTTGACCCTTCCATAAGTACAAGGCGCACCGGTTGCCCTTCACCTTGCCGGGTTTCACCTTCTGTCTCCAGACCATGACCAGTTGTCCTGGCTTGTAGGAAGCAGCCTTGCGTCCCACTGCATTCGCCAGTTTACTGAAACGGTCACTGGCTCTTTCTCGCTCAAAGGCAATCTTTGCTTTCTCCCTCTCCTTGACCAAATTGTCAAAAGCTTTGCGTGGTTCAATGCCCTTCAACAGGATCTGGTCGCCCAGCACACCACCTCCATAGCCAAATGCCCATTGGTATGCGCTGTAACCACTAGGTCCCACATGGCTGTTTGCTGCCGCTGCTGCAAGCTTGAAGAGTTCGGGAACCTTGAGCCTGTTTCAATGCCAGGATCTCCCCATCAGCTCGTGTTCCAGGAAGTTCAGATTGAGGCACACTGGGAAGTAGTCCGGATGTAGATCCACCAGTCTTGTAGTCGTTGATCTGCAGCAGGTAGTTTTCCGTCTCCCTCTCTAGGGACCGACTGTCCTGCTTCCATGAGAACTCCAGCGCCTTCAGAACATCCTTGCACATCTTCTCGGGTAGGAAGATGCCTCTGCCGCTGGACCGCGGCATTCCGCATGTTCATGCGTTCGATCACAACGCTTGTTGAGAGTCAGCCATAGGTTGCGATTCGACGTGAGGATGGTCCAGCTCTTCTTCAAAGGCAGGCCCTTCCACTCCAGACCATACTGGCATCCGTCGATGCTGATCGCTCTCGAGCGCCACCCAGACACTGCTCCAGAGGGCCATTCCCATGCCACATCACCACCAGCCTCCAGGACATAGTCCAGCCCTGACACAATCTCCTCGCAGCGATTCAGATCACGTCCTCGCCGCTTGAGAAACTTGTCCATCTGCTCAGGTGTTCGGTGTGTCAGGTTCTGCAGTGAAGACAGTCGTGTGCAGCGAAAGGAAACCCATGCTAGCTTTGGAGGCTTCTCATGGATGGTCTCTTGCAGCTTCACAGTTCCTTTCCGAGAGTCGAGGTCATAGCCGTTCAAGTAGTGGGTTCGCTGCGTGGAGTAGCCCTTGTCGATGAAAACCTGGCTCAGGTTGGAGTTCGGTGCACAAGCAATCTCCATCAAATCTACGGTAGGTGTCACCATTCCAACCAACTCTCTCACAGGTTCCATCAAGGTGACAGCCATGGCGGCTGCCATCGCCACTCGCCTCGCCAGAGACGGTCGCACCTGCTTCTCGTGCATATTGACCATGGTGGCAATCTCCTCAGTCACATGGGATGCGCCGCCGCCGCCATCGCCTGATCTGGTAATCGGACGAGTCGAGCATGTAGTGCAAGCATGTTTCAGTCCCTCAGTCTCATTGGTGATACCATCAAGTGTCGTAGTGCTATCGTCATTCGTAGTGTTGTTCCTGGAGAACCCAAATTGGCAGTTAGGATGTATATAATACATCCAGGATGTATTTTTGAGCAAAAAACGTATTATACACTGCCAGGACGTATGTTGAACCAACAACTATACATTTTTGGGCAGGTAGGGTTGTATTTTCCAAAACCTGTGGACGAAAATTTGATAGTGTATCGTAAAAACACACCACCCCCACCACCACCACCACTTTGTGAAAGAGTGTTTTGTTCACTTGTGCAGAGAGCGCTTTGTTTTGTTGAGAGCGTTTTGTGAACGAGTGTTTTGTTCACTTATGCAGAGAGCGAGTCGCTTTGTTGAGAGCGTTTTTTGAAGGAGTGTTTTGTGTGTTTTGGTGCGGTTGCTGCTGGCAGAGGAGTGTTTTCGCAGCCATTTCATGACCATGTGGCAGAGCACATCAAACCAAACCATGAACAGCAGCACGTAGCTGGAGCAACAGTGCTATGGTTTGCAAGCAACTCACATGTTCAACCATCTTCTTTGATTACAGAACAGGGTCTCCACATTCAATCAGCTTTAGATCGAGTTGGATGTGTCGCCTTCACCTTTCAATCTGGCCGCGAGGAGAGACCTGAGTTTGGTTCGCTTTCATTTTAGTTTCTCAGTTCCTGCATCATGTGTGCAGTGCACGCAGTTCTTTGACATTTGAACCTTCCTCCCGCTGCCGTTTGTCATGTCATGAGCTGCAGATATGGTGGAACAGCAGCGTAGCCCGACAACGGAGGTTTCATCGGAGGATTTTTGGCAGCATGTTCATCGTATACTTGATGCTTGCGCGTTTGAACTCGCTTTGGGTTCTTGAGTTTCTGCAGCTGAGGAGGGACCTCCAGAAGGAATGGCATGGGTGGCAGGCTCTAAAACCACCCCAGCGTTCTCAAAGGCGATGCCGCCCAAAAGGCCAGCTTTTGTTCCGCTGTGGCAGTTCATAATCTTGGTTTTGACGCGCTGTTTGCTGGCAGGTCCTTCGATGACATGATGAAGGCAGCCTCCATTCTTTTGGTTTCGATCAGCCATATTAATATATTTGCCGGGAGCGCCCCGTGACCCCGGATCTCCAGCTCAAGGCTATGCGCGAGATTTTGTATAGTTGCATTGTTTCTGATGTAAACACGTTACTTGTTGTTATTTCAGCCGTTTCATTGCCATTTGGGTTGATGTCCACATGTTGTTCTGGCAACTGCTTGATTGTCAGGCCAGCCCCATGGATTTGGATCATCAGCCTCCTCAGGAGGGTTTGACGCTGAAGGCAACTTCTGAGTCGATGTCCACCTGTTGTTTTGGTCGACATGCATGTTTGCGTCTCAGCCGCTTCTTGGCCAGGAGATCTCCAACAGCAAGGGTCTGCGGATGAAGGCGATTTCATACACGTTGATATCCGCGTGTCTTTTGATTGTGAGGCAAGGCACATGACATGGTGTTTTGCCTCACCCACTTCACTGTCAGGAAAGCCCTGAGAACAATGGTCAGGCCGGCGTTGATGTCAACGTGTCCTTGACAGAGGTGCTTTCATTTGCGTTGATTCGAACCGGTTGTTTTATCTCAGCCACGCCGTTTGCAGGGGAGTTCTTTGGATCTTGCCCCCGATGTGAATGTGGCGGACTGCGTTTCCGTCATTGCACTCTCACATATAGTGCCTTCGCGCGCCTTCTTGCAGGACATATGGACTGATGAAATGGTAGCGCAGACTGGGCTACGACGCGCAGAGCTTGACACCCACCCAGAGGACCGGACCTATGCCAGGGCTGTCTCTGTAGAATTTAAGATGGGCTGCACGCTTTTGTCAGGGCATCCATGTGACATCGAAGTGGATTGAGGCAGGACCTGCGCTCATCTCTTTCTATTTCTTTCTCACATTGATCTGTCAGGCAGCAGGGCAACGGAAGCTATCGCCCTTGGCGGCTGAGGTCCGCCAGCAGGTGGAATTGATGCGTGTCTTTAAGACGCAGCAGGCGCCTTGTCAGAACAACTTGGCACTGATTGGAGTAGCCATTGATTGGTTGATTGAGTGATTAAATGAATGCATGAATATGAATGAATGAATGAATGAATGAATGATTCATTGGTTGCTTTTTGCATCTTGGTATTGGTTGATTTCGCATCCGCTGCCGAGGCATACTACGCCGCAAGAGAGGAAGCATCCCGGAGCAAGTTCGAATTGCATCAAAAGATGCACGAGGTGGCAGTACAGATGCTCTTTGAGCAAGTGATCAGAGAGCAAGTGATCAATGATCCTTGAGCAACGCGCTGAAGATGAAAAATATTGCCATTTGCAACCTTCTTCTCTTTTCACTTGACTGCACTCATGCGTTCCATTCTGCAACGTGCTCATTTCACCCATTTGAAGGACTGGCCCGGCGCCGCTGCCTTCAACATTGCTTGCAGGTCCATCGGTGAGGCAGGTCACTAGCGCAGTGATTGTATGAGATTGAACATATTTGGTGTGTTCAGAGCTTAATGAAAATTTGTGCACAGAGGCCTACAAATATAGGGAAGCTGGCTTTTGCAGGCGTGTGGGCCCAGACACCTTGAGACAGTCTCATGTACAATCAATTAAGCAAAGCGCCAGTCACGTAGCAGCATCCTCTTTTCAACCATGTGGCGAGGACTTGGTGCCACTGCCTTCAACATTGCTTGCAGGTCCATCGGTGAGGCAGGTCACTAGAGCAGCGATGGGACGTCATAGAACATATTTGGTGCGTTCAGCGCTTAATGATTCTTTACGTGGAGGCCTACAGATATATGGGGAAGCTGGCGTTTGCAGGCGTGTGGGCCCAGACAGTCTCAGGTACAATCAGTCGTGCTGCAGTGTCCTCTTTTCAACCATGTGGCGAGGACCTGGCGCTGCTGCCTTCAGAGTTGGTTTCATTTCCGCGAGGTGAGGCAGGTCACTAGAGCAGTGATGGGATGCGATTGAAACTATTTAGTGTTCAGTGCTGATTGAATTTCGAGTGGAGGCCTACAAATGGGGAAGCGGCGCGCTCTGGCTTTTTTGCAGGCTGATTTGGATGACTCGTGTTGAAAAGACGACGGTGCACCGAACTCACCCAGAGCCTCCAAACCCTTTGTGTCATATTGCTGTGAGCCCGGGCTCAAGTGAGGTGCCCGACCCTGTCTGGAGGTTCTTTACAATAGTTCAGGGGCCCCACAACATGGGACAATTCAAGTTTGATATATCCACACCTCCGTCGGCCCAGTCAGGGCCTTGCAACCTTCTTTACACTTGCCATTTGCTTTCGGCTATGGGGCGCCCATCAGGGTCCATGGAAAAGCGGCTGGACACATTGGAGATAGAGCAGGTGGTTGAAGCAATCTCTGAAGAGAAGATGAAAAGCTTGATCCTTTGCAAGGGATCCGAAGACATCCGCAAATTGTTCGGTAGGTCTGCGGATGAGAATGTCACGATCACCCGCTCCTATTTGGAAGAACACGCCTGGTTGCTCCGACCCTTCCTGATTTGCAGCCCTGTTCACATTCCCCATGTGGATTCGACCCTCAGCTTATGTTCGCCTTTTGACTGATCGGCCGTGTAAAAACTCGTACTATATGTATGATTATGTTCTTCATCCAGACATGGGCTTCGATCAGGATCTGTGCGGTGCTACAAAGCGCCATCGGCAAGCACACTAAGAACGCGGAGAACGTCCTGGAAGCCCTTGCCTGGGATCTCAAAGCGCTTTTGCAGAGCCTTCGCCCGCAACAATATGTTGTCAGTGTCAGGGTTGCTGAATTCAAGAGAGAGAGAGAGAGACGCTTGAATGATTACAAACCTTATTGGACTTCATTAAACGTCATTGCCGATACAAAGTGGACATTGCCACTGAGGGCAGTGAGAAAGATTCGGCGAGGATGGAAACATGCTGCTAAAAAGCTACAGCGGTCATGGCCGGAAAGCGCAACGAAGTGGCCTGAGATCATGAATATGATCGTCAGCTTGCAAGACCTGCCAGAATCAGATGACGAGGAACCCAAAGAAACAGAAGTTTGCAGCTTAGTTTCTATGCACCCTGTGACCTGTTTCTCCCTTTTTCTCAACGCTCTTCCTGCTTCAGGCGATGGCCGCTGCTTGGAACCTTGATGACCGACAAGATGAATCTGAACTGTCTGAGAAGCTTGCTGCCAAGCGTGCCTTGACATCATGTCACACCACCAGACCAACTCGTTGGCGAATTGTTGTTCCACAGCCAAGGACAGGAAGTGTTGAGCTCCCTACAAGGAATGTGTGTGGTTTTGGACGATGAGGCGCATGACAGAACAAATTCAATCGTAGAGCTCTGCATGCTCAAGTGTAACAGGACCAGGGCGCCGGCAGTGCAAGTTCTTCAGGGCCTTTGCGTGAGCACGAGGACAGGATCGCTCAACTTCTCCTCTGAATCTGTCCGAATTCTTTTGCGCAGGGGCATTGGCGCTGGCAAACCAAAACCCCGCCAGATGATGCGATTTGGGCAGATCAAGAGGCGGCTTTCCCTTGTAGTTCAAACACTCAAGGTTGCTGGAGACCTCATGGTTTGAGCCTACAATTGCTCTCCATTGTTTGAGTTTGGTTGCAGGTTCATGCTCAGGACAAAGCCGAACGTGGAGCTGAAAAGGCTCGGGCCATGGTCATTTCACAGTCTCATAGAACTTTGAATTGCTTAGGAGGAAGGGGAGAAAGCCAGAGTTGTTGCAGAGGTGCTTCCATGGTTTATTTTCCCCATGATCTACCAAACAGGATCTAACTGGTTTGTCGTCAGGAGAAAGCAAAGCGTGAAGCTGAAGCTCTTTGTAAAGCTCAGGACATGCTGATATTACGCAATCTCATAGTTTGGAATCAAGTCCTGTTTGGGAGTTTTTCTTTGAAGGATGAGGAGAAAGTTGCTGCAGAGGCGCCACGTTGACTCAATCAACAAATTCAACAAATTGGGGTTCTTGCATCCTGTGTTCAGGAGAAAGCCAGGCGCGAAGCTGAAGCCCTTCTGCAGGCCCGGGCACAGGCTTTGGTCTCACACTCTCAGCGTTTGAGTTTGTTTGGGGAAGTTGAATTTACTGCAGAAGCGGTCCAATGTTTCACCCAATTAATGGTGCATTTGCTTGTGTTGTTTTGAGGAGAAAGCAAGACGTGAAGCTGAAGCTTTGCAGAAGGCCCAGCGTGAACAATTGAAGGCCTAAACGAAGCAGACGGTAAGGGCCCTTACCGTCTGAATGGCAGGCAATCCTGTTTGGGTCAACATGCTTGAATTACATTTGGTATTCCGGGCAGGCGGAAAAGGAAGCAAGAATTGCTGCAGAGGTTCTCCAGTGGTGTCCAACAAAC